TGCGTTTTTCTATTTTGTCGTGTGTGGCAGACTTCCAAGAACTCAAGGAAGAATTTATCTTGAAGAAGCAGAGTCTTGGTTTCAAGATTCAAGTGATTTCGAAGCTCTCTAAAAATGTAAACTTCAAGATAGTGAGAATAGTTACATTACTTTGTATAGTGTAACATTTCTCTTGGTGTAGGCCCTTGTAGAGGGTAGTTTCGAGACCCTTCGTGGTTGGGGACATTGTGGCACTGTTCCACATCACTATACCTCGGCTCTTGGGGTTTGTAGGAGCTGGGAGTCATTCCCAACTCGTAACTCTTCCTAATTTGGCTTCTAAGACTATAGTGGCTGCCATAGTGTTATAGTCACAATAGGCTTGAATGTGCCTAAAACGAAAGATAGAGAGCACAGACGGATTTCTGCACAGCGGATTCAAACGTTGATAGCGTTCTGCTCACAGCTTCAAATGACTTGATTCAAATTGGATCTGGAGCGTCTTCACGTCGTCTACAAAGAATTGACAACACAGCGTCGGTTTGAACGAACGGTACTATGGCAGCCACTATAGTCTTAGAACACAAGATAGGAAGAGTTACGAGTTGGGAATGACTCCCAGCTCCTACAAACCCCAAGAGCCGAGGTACAGTGATGTGGAACAGTGCCACACTGTCCCCAACCACGAAGGGTCTCGAAACTACCCTTCACTAGGGCCTACACCAAGTGAAATGTTACACTACACAAAGTAATGTAACTATCTTCAATATCTTGAGGTGTACCCTTTTGGCAAGCTTTGAAATCACTTGAGGCTTGACACCAAGGCTCGGGCTCTTCATCACAAACTCATCCTTGAGTTCTTGATGGGTCTGCTGCACACACCTGCGACACGCCGAACGTTCGACACAGGACAAAATAGAAACCGCGCACGACAAAATAGAAACCGCGCGCGAGACACAAACGACCGCGTAACACGCGTCTAGCGATAACTCGCTATTGACTCGACACACACACTCGACATCATGACTCAACATTCACACACAATTATAAGCATGAAATATATATTATCCCATGCCCTCATACCATTCCATACACACACACATTCACGCACACGGACAACAAGCCGAGTGCAAACCGTAGGGTTGCACCAACAAACTCCCCCTCGGAATGTTGGCCTTAGGATATGTTGCTCTCTCAGTTCAGAGCCATCCCAGCCAGCTTGCAACACTTCCAATGCTGCTGCTCCACCAGCCTCTTGGTCATCATGTCAGCCGGCTGCCCCGTGGTCTTCACGTAGCGCAACTCAACTTCACCCGCGGTTACCATGCTCCTCGTCCAATGCCACTTCACCCTCATGTGCTTCGTGAGGCCATGCAACACAGGGTTCTTAGCAAGAGCAATGGCACCCTGGCTGTCACAGTACAGTGGGGTAGGTCCTTGCTGCTCCTCCCCCAATTCAGCCAACAAACGCCGCTGCCACACAATCTCCCGTACGGCACGGAAGAGTGCCATGTACTCGGACTCCACCGAGCTCAAAGCTTGGTCAACCTACTTCTTGCTCTCCCAAGCAGTTGGGCCTCCACCAACACAGCATATGAAGCCTCCCACACTTGTCATGTCCTCTGGTTCTGATGCATATGAAGCATCCGAGTAGGCGGTGAGGAACAAACGTCCGGGTTCAACACCATCCGCGCCCTTTTGGTGCCTTTGTGCCGCCGCCGAGTATTGCAGCCCAACGGTCGGTGTTTGGCCAAGATACTTGGCCACCCTCATTCCAGCTGCTACCTGCTCCTCATTAGGGCATTGCACAACCCTAGCCAGCTGCCCGGTAGCAAACGCGACGTCCGGTCGGGTGTTTACCGCCGCATACATGAGGCTGCCCACCAACGAGTGAAATCGGCGCCTCTCCTCTTCACCAACGCTCTCCTCCTCTGGTCCCTTCACACACTTGAACCCAGAGGGAAAGGGTGTAGCCACATGGCCTTCACTCTGCCCAAAGTTGGCAGCCAATGCCTCCAGGTACTTTCGTTGATGCACCCGCATGCACCGCTTCTCCACATCTCGTTCGATGTGGAGCCCAAGGTAGAAGCTCACGTCACCAAGGGCCTTGCACTTGAACTTGTCTTGAAGCTTCAGCATCACCTCCTTCACAAGGTCAGAAGAGGGTGAGAAAATGAGGATTTCATCCACATAAACCACCATGAAACTCCTCTGCTCCCCCTCGCCAAGCATGAACAAGGAGTGATCGGCCGTTGAAGGAGTGAAGCCGATCCCCTCCAACACTTCGCGCAGCTTCATGTACCATTGCCTAGGGGCCTGCTTCAGCCCATAGAGGGCCTTCTTCAGCTTCCACACTCTGCCACTACCATCATCAAACCCCTCTGGCTGCGCCATAAAAATCTCCTCCTCAAGGATGCCGTTAAGGAATGCCGTTACGATGTCCATTTGCTTTACTACCCATCCTTTGATGGCGGCTCCCGCGAATAGGGTTCGCAGCGTCGTCGGCTTCACCACAGGGGCAAACAGCTCCTTGAAGTCCACCTTCTCCTTCTGCTGGTACCCCTTGGCTACAAGCCTAGACTTGTAGCGCTCGATCTTGCCGTCGGCATCCGACTTGATTTTGAAGAGCCACTTGGACGTTATCGCCGTACGCCCCTCCGGTAGCTCCACCAATTCAAACGTGTCATTCTCCTCAATGCTCTTCAGCTCACTCTCCATGGCCTTCTTCCACTCCTCAGCATCACTACTCTCCAAAGCCTCCTTGAGAGTTGCTGGTTCTCCCGGCATCTCCACCGGAGAGAAGAACGCGAAGGCACACTCCTCGTTGTCACTCTCCTCGTCGTCTCCGACCATCATTGCCGCTCCGGCCAGGGCTGTCTTGCCCTGCTTTCCCGGCGCATCATAGGTCAGCCTATTAGGGGGTTGAACTCTCCTCTTCCCCCTTCCTTCCTCCTCAGCTGCAGGGACTTGAAGGCCTTGGCGTTGCTGCGGTGTGGCTCGAATCCGTGGAGCACTCGTAGTACGGGAAGGGAGTGACGGTGCACGCTCGCTCACTTGCTGCACCTCCTCCTCTTCTTCCTCTGCATCATTGGCCTCCTCTCCCCCATTCACAAGGGAGGATTGCCTTGTGGTTGTGCTGCCGCTGCTCAGCTCCAAAGACAGCTCCACATGCTCCAAACCGGAACTCTTCACCTCCCCAAACCGCACGCCTATCTTCGCCTCATTCTCCGCCTTCCAATCCTTGTACATGAAGTTCTCCATGAATTTGCAGTCCCTGCTCACCAAGAACTTCTTGGTGAATGGGTCCCAAAGAAGCCATCCCTTGCTGTTTTGAGCCATGCCCAAGTGCACGGCCCACACCGCCTTGGCACCAAGCTTGTTGTGCCGAAGATGCTTAGGCACGAGCGCCATGCACATGCACCCGAACACCCGAAGCATATCCACATTTGGCTTCCTTCCTAGCCACTCCACATAGGGCACCCATTTGTCTGCTCCCACATGAGTCAAGGCTCTGTTCTTGGCCACACACGCGCTCCGCACCGCATCAGGCCAGAAATAGTCGGGTAGCCCGGCTTCAATGAGCAACCCGCGTGCCGCCTCCGTGATTGTGCGGTTCGCTCGCTCGGCGATGCCGTTCATTGCAGGGGAGTATGGCATGGTGAGGGAGTGCCGAATACCATTCTTCTTCAGCCACAACCCAAACTCCTTGCTCAGGAACTCTCCCCCTCGATCGGTGCGGATTGACTTGACTAGACGGTCTTGTTGCCGCTCCACCATCGGGAACCAATCCGTCTTCAACGTTTCAGCCACGTCGCTCTTCTTGGCCAGCACGTACACCCAAGTCATGCGGGTGTAGACGTCGACAATGGTGAGAAAATACTCAGCTCCAGCAGCTCCAAGCTTCAGGGGGCCCACCACTGTTGAGTGATGCTACCATTCGCATTCACGTCTGTCTGCCTCCCATCATATGTTCGTGCGTTGCATGCGTGTTGTGAGTGTGTGCAAGAATTTGTATTTTGTGCGGTTTGGTTTTTCTGAGTGTGTGTGTGAATGTTATTTGGCTTGAGCAGATAACTGAAGTGACTCCTCTGCTCAAGAGCTTTCCGAGGAACCAAGTATCGCTTCAATCGGAGCACGAACAAGAAAGTTACGAACATTGGAGTTCGTATGCTTTTGATATTTGGTTGTGGTGACTATGGGAAGTTGTGGGGTTGACTCAATATGGGGTACAGACTTTTGGGGGTTGGGAAATTCGTCTTTTCTACTGTAGTTGCTGCCAAATGGTTGGGAGAAACCAAACCAGGTTGGCAAGTGTGGCCAAGTTGGGTTGAGGTGGATTGTGGAGGTTGGGATAGTGACAAAGGTCAAAGTTGGGTTGCCTATGGGGAAGGGAATTGTGTGGCATGGAGTTTCCTTTGGTTGGGGACTCCTTGGGACCTTCCCTCTCGTCCTCCTCATCCCTTCCACCTGGTTTAGTGCTACTCCAATTCTCTTGTGTGAACTTGTGTGAACTTTGTGATTGAGTTAAGTTCTTATGGCAGCATACCCCCCTGTGCGCCGAAATTGATAAGTCGAGATTTACTTCACCTCTTGATACGTTTCAACTTGGGAATTGTAGCCACGGAGTAGGGCTACAACATATATGAGTTTAGTGAAGTTTTGACAGTGCACTTTTCGTCGACGGCGTTTCTTGTGAACTCGACTTTTCTGTTCAGAAACTAGGCCCAACGATGTTGAGATATTTTGGCTCCTAATCTTCATAGACTCCGTCCTTAGTCTCTAACAAGTGGTATCAGAGCTGATTAAGGACCCTATGAGGAGTCTACTGAAGTGTGAAGACCCTCTTAGACCCACCATGGCCTGTGGGCGTGCCTAAGTGGAGTTCTGGAGGTTGGATGTGACTTCCGCTAAGGGGAAACTCTGCCGAAATTTCGTTGGCGCCGACACTTGTGAAGATTGTGTGGATCTACATTGTGACCAGCAAAAGGGGGAGCTGAAACCTCTGATTGGGAGCAGAAGAGATGAATCAAGGGAGTGGAGATGCAGCTGAGAAGAGGAGTGAACCGCCACCATCCAAGATCGAAGCTTTGGATGGCTCCAACTATGAGGAATGGAGCGGGCGGATGCGGAGCGCCTTCAAGCGCTACAAGCTGCTGAAAATTGCAATGGGAGAGGAGAAGATGCCGGGGGAAGGAGATGCCCGCGATCGGTGGATTGAGAAGAGCGCGGTGCTTTACGACCTCATCCTCCAATCGGTCAACAACGACATGTTCCAGCACATCAAGGATTTGGTGGAGTTGGATGATTCCGGACCGAAGGCATGGAAGCTGCTACGTGACGTGATTCAGCCCAACACGCTGCCGATGGTAATTGTGTTGGAGAAGGAGTTGGCTGCCCTCTCCATGAAACCGGGAGATGATGTGAAACCGGTCCTTGACAAGATCAAGGACACCTATGCGAGGATGGCAGCGGCGGGCAGCGAAGTGTCGCAGATGCAACAGTGCACCAAGATCATCTCGGTGCTCGACAACTCGTGGGACAACCTCATCCCCACCCTCAACGTTCAGCAGGACAAATGGACGCATGAGTGGCTACGGCAGCAGATTCTGCAGGAGGACTTCCGCAGACGCCACACGGGAGGTGGTGCTGCCAACAAAACTGCTGAGGGGTATGGAGCTGCAGGAGGCAGCAGAGGAAGAGGGGGAGGGAGAGGCCGAGGCCGTGGGAGAGGCTTTGGCAGAGGGAGAGGCCGAGGTGACTACAATGAGGGGCATGGGAGCTCTGGTGGCAGGGGGAGCACCCGAATGGAGGGTGCGTGCTGGTACTGCAAGAAGGCTGGACACCCGTGGTTCAAGTGTTTCAGCCGGCCTGAGGGATGGGCCCCTCCAGGCATGAAGCCGCCAAGTGGTGAACGTGCACGCGGTGGCGCTGTGCAAGGTTCAGGTGCACAAGGTGATGGTGCACAAGGTAAAGCCGACCCTGGGATGTTCCTCATGGTTGAGGATGTGCAAGGGAGTGGGGGTGATGTGGGTTCAGTTGGGAAGGTTGTGATGCACCCCCTCACTCACTGGGTGATCGATTCAGGTTGCACGAGTCATATGACCCCACGGGCAGATTTGCTTGATGAGGTAAAACCTCCTGGGAAGATCAAGTTTGTGGCTGCCGCTTCAGGTGCTTTGCTCCCTGTGATTGGTGTTGGGAATGCCAAGGTGATGGGAGCCAATGGAGAGCTTGTGGGGCTTGGGAATGTGCTGTTGGTTGAAGGTTTGTCCGCTAACCTTCTTTCTGTGCGCCGGCTGCAGAAGAGCAAGGCTGAAGTTACCTTCGGCCCAACCAGCTGCCGTGCAAAGCTTGGGAAGTTGCTGCTGTGGAACTTGGAGGAGAAGAGCAGCTGCATCAAGGACTTGTGGCAGCTGCCCATCATCCCTTGGAAGGGGAAACCACCAGCAACGGCAAAGGCAGCGGCAGCGGCTAAAGCAACTGCGGGAGGAGAGGAGACTGCACCAACTGCTGGGGCCCTGGATGCAGTCAAGAAGGTGCAGCAGCCACAACAGCCACATGGTGAGGTGCTTGCTGGTGTGGATGCGACAGCTGCATGGGCAAAGGCTTCATCTGGGAGTGGTGAGGCTGATTGGGAGACGTGGCATGAGAGGCTGTGCCATGTGAACATTCCTATGCTGCAGAAGTTGGTAAAGGATGGGTGCTTGAAGGGGCTGGAGGTGAAGGGGGGAGCAAAGGAGATTGGGAGCTGCCCTACCTGCCTTGAGACCAAATTCACGAAGTTTCCCTTCAGCAGCAGCACAGGACCAGCCAAGGCACCACTTGCACTAGTGCACATGGATGTGGTGGGCCCCACGAGGGCCCTTTCTCTCTCGGGCAGCCGCTACTTCTTGACGATTGTGGACGACCACACGCGTGCGGTGTGGGTGTACCCTCTCAAGACTAAGGGGGAGGTGGCAGCGGCTGTTCTTAAGGAGTGGATGCCGAGAGCACAAAGGGAAAGCGGACACAAGGTGAAGGTGATCCGCACTGACAACGGAGGAGAGTTCATCGGCGCTGATTTTGAGAAGGAGCTGAAGCGGAAGGGGATCCAGCATCAGCTCACAGTGCCTTACAACCCTCAGCAGAATGGCGTGGCTGAGCGGTTCAACCGGACCCTGCAGGAAGGTGCTCGCACTCTCCTTGGGCGTGCAGGGCTGCCGGATCCGTTTTGGGTGACAGCACTGCGGCAGGTCGTTGTTGTGAAGAACCGGGTGCTGGCGACTGTGGGGGACAAGCAATGGGTCCCCTACACCAAGTGGTATGGGAGTGCGCCTGCAGTCAACATGCTGAGAACTTATGGCTGCATGGTGGTGTTTCATGTACCGAAGGAGAAGAGGGGAAAGTTGGAAGCTTCTGGGAGATGGGGTGTGCACTTGGGGCTTGCCAAGGACCACAAGGGCTGGTTGATATGGGACTTGACGAGCCAGCAACTGACTGTGTCAAGGGATGTTAAGTTCCTTGAGTCCTTGTTCTACAAGGAGTGGAAGCAGCAGCAGCAGAAGCTTCCTACAACACCACTGATCATTGAGGCCGATGAGGTGCAGCGGCCTTCGAGGCAGGTGGAGGTTTCTGTCTCCAAGGAGGAGATCTCTGGGGTGACTGATGATGGGGGAGAACCTGAGGTGGAGCAGCAGCAGCAGCAGCAGCAGCAGCAGCAGCAGCAGGAGGAGCAAGGTGCTCCACAAGGTGCCGGACGTACGGCTGACTGTCCTAGGAGGGATGTGCGCCCTCCTAACAGGCTGACCTATGCAAGCCGTGGCAAGCCAAAGGTGGTAAGGGCTGGGAGTGTGGCTGAGCAGTGTGATGAGGATGAGATAGCACACTGCTACTGGGCAGCCGTCCCTGAGCCCAAGACGCTAGCTGAGGCATTGAGCGGGCCCGATGCTGAAAAGTGGAAGCAGAGTGTGAAGGAGGAGTATGATTCTCTGCTAGAGAATGAGACGTGGGAGCTGTGTGAGCTGCCACCTGGGAAGAAGGCCATTTCTTCCAAGCTGATTTTCAGGCACAAGTACGGACCTGATGGGGCGCTGACCCGCTACAAGTCAAGGCTTGTGGCTAAGGGGTTTCAGCAGACAAAGGGAAAGGACTTCAACGAGCTCTATGCTCCTGTGGGGAAAGGCACAACACTTCGGGTGTCATTGGCAATGGCAGCAAACCGTGGATGGCGGGTGAAGCAGATGGACATCACCACCGCCTTCCTCAATGGGATCATTCTGGAGGAGCTGTACATGTTACAGCCTGAGGGTTTGGATGATGGGAGCGGCAGGTGTGCAGGCTGAAGAAGGCCATCTATGGCCTGAAGCAGGCTCCTCGTGCATGGTACCACAAGTTAGAGGAGACTCTGCTGGCTGGGGGTTTCAAGAAGAGTGAGTGTGATCACAGCTTGTTCCTGCTGCAGGAGAAGGAGCAGTTTCTCATGCTCCTGGTGTATGTGGATGACATCCTGCTCTTCTCTGAGTCGTCTGCAATGATTGAGCATGTGGAGGAGATGCTGGAGATGCAGTTTAAGTGCTCCAAGATGGGAGATGTGAATTACTATTTAGGGATGCATGTGGAGAGGGACCTTGACAAGGGAGTGTTGAGGTTGCACCAGAGAAAGTATTGTGAGGGGCTGGCTGAGAAGTATGGGCTGCAAGATGGAGGAAAGCCAGCCACCCCACTGCCTTCGGGGTTCACTGTGGAGCCCTGTGCTGATGAGGAGGTGGTGGGTGAGAGTGACAGGAAACTTTTTCATTCCATGGTTGGGGCACTCAACTATGCGGCTAACCACACACGGCCTGACATTGCCTTTGCAACATCCAGGCTTGCCAGTGTGGTTTCACGCCCCAGTCATGAGCAGCTGGAAGCGGCCAAGAGGTTGGTCCGCTATGTGAGTGCAACGGCATCAGTGGGTTTGGAGTACAGTGCTGTGAGGCAGAGGCTGCAGAGGAGTGCAGCTGATTTGAGCAAGGGGGAGATGCTCCTGACCTGCTACACTGACGCTAGCTTCAACTCGGTGAAAGCGGATGGCACCAGCATTGGAGGCTATGTGTGCCTGTTCGGAGGTGGTGCAGTGAGCTGGCGCAGTAAGAAGCAGAATGAGGTGGGGCAGTCCTCGTGTGAGACAGAGTACATGGCCCTGCATCATGGGGCAAAGGAGGTGGTGTGGCTGAGGCGTTTGTTGGAGGAGATCGGAGTGTGCCAAAAGGAGCCAACTGTGATTTTCTGTGACAACGAGTCGGCTGTGAAGCTTGCTAAGAATGCTTGCCTTCATGGGCTGACGAAGCACATCAGGCCTAAGTGGCATTGGGTGAGGAGGCTCCTGGACAAGGAGGTGCGGCTGGAGATTGTGAAGACCCATCAGCAGGCGGCTGACATTCTCACCAAGCGTCTGGCTGAATCTGAGCATTGGAAGGGCATGAAGCTTGCTGGGATGAGTGTGCATTGAGGATGCATGCTTGAGCTATGGCATGTGGGATGATGGTTGGCAGCCAGAGGGGGAGTTTGTTGAGTGATGCTACCATTCGCATTCACGTCTGTCTGCCTCCCATCATATGTTCGTGCGTTGCATGCGTGTTGTGAGTGTGTGCAAGAATTTGTGTTTTGTGCGGTTTGGTTTTTCTGAGTGTGTGTGTGAATGTTATTTGGCTTGAGCAGATAACTGAAGTGACTCCTCTGCTCAAGAGCTTTCCGAGGAACCAAGTATCGCTTCAATCGGAGCACGAACAAGAAAGTTACGAACATTGGAGTTCGTATGCTTTTGATATTTGGTTGTGGTGACTATGGGAAGTTGTGGGGTTGACTCAATATGGGGTACAGACTTTTGGGGGTTGGGAAATTCGTCTTTTCTACTGTAGTTGCTGCCAAATGGTTGGGAGAAACCAAACCAGGTTGGCAAGTGTGGCCAAGTTGGGTTGAGGTGGATTGTGGAGGTTGGGATAGTGACAAAGGTCAAAGTTGGGTTGCCTATGGGGAAGGGAATTGTGTGGCATGGAGTTTCCTTTGGTTGGGGACTCCTTGGGACCTTCCCTCTCGTCCTCCTCATCCCTTCCACCTGGTTTAGTGCTACTCCAATTCTCTTGTGTGAACTTGTGTGAACTTTGTGATTGAGTTAAGTTCTTATGGCAGCATACCCCCCTGTGCGCCGAAATTGATAAGTCGAGATTTACTTCACCTCTTGATACGTTTCAACTTGGGAATTGTAGCCACGGAGTAGGGCTACAACATATATGAGTTTAGTGAAGTTTTGACAGTGCACTTTTCGTCGACGGCGTTTCTTGTGAACTCGACTTTTCTGTTCAGAAACTAGGCCCAACGATGTTGAGATATTTTGGCTCCTAATCTTCATAGACTCCGTCCTTAGTCTCTAACAACCACGTCCATCACCACCTCATCAAGCGGTGCCTTTGCCGTTGCCTCCGAACTAGGGAACGGAAACCGGGTGAACTTGGCTTGAATGCACGTCGGGCAGCCAAGCACCTCATCGGGCTCCCCCTTCACACGTATGCCAGCAACCATCTCATTCTTCACTAGCTGCTGCAAGATGGGCAGGGCCACATGCCCCATGCGCCGATGCAAGGTGAGCCAATCACACTCCCCCGTAGCCGAAGTTGGATTGGAGAATGCCGCGCTCGCAATAGCGCCCCACATACTCTCTCCGTAGTCCTCCTCCGCTGCTGCCTCTGGGTTCTCCTCACCCTTTTGCTGCTCCTTGGTTGCTGCACCACTCTCCTTAGGTTCACTGAACTTGCTGGTCCCTCCAGGTTTGCTCTTCTTGAGCTCATTCTCCTTAGCGCGACCGTTCGCGCCATCGTCGCTACCGACCGCTCCATCCTTGGTGCTGATGCTTGCTGCCACTTGCCTCTCCTTAGGCATAGGGACCACTGGGATCTGCCACATCTCGTTGTAGACATCCCTGTCCTCATGAAGGTCCCAAAGAATTCGATCGCCAAGCCTTGCGGTGTAGGTCTTGGCTCCCTTCGAGTTCGTGTCCATGCCGGCCTTTGCCAACCGCCGCACGGAAATCAGGTTTGCAGCAAGGCTGGGCACCCAAAGCACGTTCTTGAGGCCCACCATCTTCCCATCAGCACCCTTGAACATGGCCTTGCCCATGCCTTTCACCTCTGCTCGCTGCCCCAAAGCCGATGTGACATGCTTCACCGGTGACGGCTCGAGTTCGGTGAGCAAGTCCGGGCGAGGTGTCATGCTATAGGTAGCGCCACTATCAATCACCCAATAGTCCAGGGGGTGTAGGGTCACCTTCCCCACAGCTGCTGGCTCCTCAAAGCCTTCATCCTTCTCTGGACCAGCCGGTACTTGCGTCGACACGAAGTAGAATAGACCCGGGTATCGATCGTCGCTCGGGTCCTTGTCGTTGTCTCCGCTCTTCATGTTTGCAGCTCCGCCACCGCGACCGCCACGGCCTCCACGGCCTCGTCCTCTCCCTCCTCCTGC